ACGTCAGCTCAACTCATATCATTGTGGGAAAATTGTTCTTCTACCAGTCCTTCATCACCTTAAACGAAATGGGGTGAATAAATTTCATATTGCTGATTTACTGTTAGTCACAAAAACAATACTTTATTCTAAAAACAAATATGCTTTAAGCAATAGCTGTCATCAACCAAGGCGTCTTTTTCACGAAATTATGCTATTCAATGCGCAAATGTCAATAATTTTTCCTTTAATGTGTTTTACGGTCTGGGTACAGTACCATACAAAGTAGCCTGGCAAAAAACTACTAGATTCGAGAGGATAGATTAGGCAATTGGTAATTGCAAGTTTTAGCTGGTTATTAATATTGAAAATTATTAAGATTTTGGCTGAAGTTTAATAATCATAGGGTTAGAAGTGCACCCGTTTTATGCTGATATTTTTATATTCAACTTTTTTATCTAACCAATATATATATATATATATAATTTTTATTAGGCATTATTACCCAATCATTTACTTTTTGTATCATTGCTTTTATCTATGGGATGAAGGAATCTGCCTAGGATAACATGAAATCCTTCATATTTTGAATATAACTTTTATCACGTGATTACATTTTAAGGATAGAGCTCTTCTGGGTTGGAAATTGGTTTAAAATTTTTCAGAGAGTTTAGGTCTATTCACATGATCCTCAATATCTTTCTGCCTGTTTCTCATCAATCGGAAATGGTTTGACTCATTCCCACATAATTTCGCATGTATCTTCTATTCTGCCCTATTATATCAGCCCTGAAGGTGATTCTCTTGAGATTTTCAGAGATGAACTGGCTTTTGTGGAAGTTTAATTTTGTTTTGTGACATAATATGTGATCAAGTGTTTCTTCGCTTAACGAAATTATAGTTTAAGCATTGCTTTGCCGCCTCCTTCGAACGACCATTTTTTGCCGAACCTTCCAAGGCAGCAACACAAGCGCTTATGAATGCTATTTCGAGAAATGAAAAGATTGTAAAGTAAAAAAAAAAGGTGCTAACTCGAATGAGGACCCCGGTAAATAGTGCAATTGTTCCACAATAGGCTGAATAGGCCTCAATACGTCATTTAATTTCACTCAGCAGGAATGGACTAGGCTGCAGCTATGACCTCGCCTCAACTGGGCTTATCAACACCCCCAACGGGACTCGAACCCGAGTAGTTCGGTGTTTGTTTTCGGCACTACATCATATTATAAGATGTATTCATCCTATTTCGTTTAAGGTGATAAACAGCTAGTAGTTGAATTTTCCCACAAGCACATGAGTACTGCGGACTATTTATATTTTGATATTACAATCGACTATATTACTTATAATCACGTAAAGTAGGTTTTCGGGACTGTCCGTAAGTCCTAAATTAGAGTTATAATCGGTACAAAGTGCCATGTTGTTATCAAGATGTGTTTTTTTATTATTTTTATCGAGTCTGACACTTTTGAGTCCAGTAAAAGTTGTGAATCTGAGTCTTGAAAGAGCAAATCGTTGTCACCTCTTTGGTCAAGTTAAACAGTCATCTTTTTATCCTCCACTCCAAAACCTGGTCTTTCCGCCTTAAACAGGTTGGATTTTTCGTTGCCTTTTCCCTATCCCCACAAGCCATCACGCCCATGGTTACCAATGCCAAGGGCCTCGTGACTCGCATGCACGACCCCTCTTCGCAGGAGGTCTGGCGCGCCTCCAACACCAGCCTCATCTCGGCCGTGGCCGATGTCCGCCAGGCCGTCGATCCCTCGCGCATCCTGTTCCCACTCACTGGCCCGCCCGGCAACCATGCCGCCAACCAGACGAAGATGAACCTTACGCCTCTGCAGACTCCACGGGAGCCGGCCACCGTGACTGTCGTCGTGCCGAGACGCGGCACCAACGCAACCCGACCATCGGCAGCCAAGACGCTGTCGGGCCAGTCGGACGCCGGACTGTATTCGCCGCCGGTGCAAGAACTGCAACAGTTGGTCATTGAAGGTAGCCTCAGGCCCTGGTCTCCAGCATGGTCCCAGGTTATGGGATTTGCTGTGCCGACGCCAATTGTAGTCTCGAACCCTTGATCCATTTGGGCTCATGTTAGGAGGCTTTCGAACATACAAA